CCGCATCCGCGACACAGCGGACATCCTCCTGCGCAGGGACGGCTCGGTGGGCGCGCGGCGGGAGCCTGGCGCCGCGGGTGAGGCCCCTGACGGGAGTGCGGCCGGCGCGGGAGGGGCTGCGACCCCCGCCCTCCTTCCCTGTCCTGCCTGGGGAGCCCCCTCCCCCAAGTCTGGGGCGACCCTTCCTTCTCTTAGAACCCCCACTTGGAACCCGTCTCTCCCAACGATTAAGTCGGGGAGGACCGGAATTCTGCCTCTTCGGTCCCTAGTTCTCCCCACGCTGGGGCAAGTCCTCCTGCTTTTGGGGTCTGCAGCCCTCGGACTGTAGTCTCGGCCATCCAGGGATTCCTGGGGTGCACGGGTCTTGTTGCAGGGCCGGACACCTTAAGCAGGAAAAGAAACTGAAATGCCCTCTTTGGGCTCTTTCTCTTGGGTCTGAGGGTGGGGGAGGGGTGGCAGTGCTCCAGTCCCTGCGGAATTGACACCAATGTCCCAGGTTTAATTGAGAGATCAAGGAAAGTGTGTAAAATTTGAGGGACAAACCTGCTTGGTTTTTCTGCTCTGAACGGTCATCAAGAACCAACAATTAAGCCTCGAAAGATACTCGAAGTCTATTCAGAATGGTGAATTTAAGTGATGATTTACTCGCTCTCTTTAAAAAAAAAAAAAAAAAAAAAAAATTATTTTTTTCCCTGGAGAATTGGAGTGCTGGTATGCTGCATATAATGATATTGCCCCAAAAGCTGATATCCTGTTGGGGAGCACAAAGGCAGGCTGTGTGTTTGCTGGAGGAAGGCTGGACTCTCTCCAGCCCTGAGCGCTGTGGGTTTGCAGAAATTCTCATAAGCAGGCTTCTGTAGAGGAGCAGTAAGGACCAGGGCAAAGCCAGATAGAATCAACAGGGAGGGGTCTGCCGTACCCCACTCAGGGGCCATCAATGTTTGTCCCCCAGGTCTTTCTCATTCCTCTACCCAGTTACTACTTCCCTCCATACCCTTGCCATGTGACAATTGCATGATGCTGTATTTTGCACAAAAAGCACCGGTACATTTGACAGGTGGAAATAATAAGAGTAGCACTGATGGTATTATTCCGATTTTACACTCAGGTAGACTTGAGGCTCAGGTGTGCCCACAGTCACTCAGAAAGTGGCAGAATTTGGATTCAGTGCTCATGCTGTTAACTGCTGTGTTACTCTGTCTTTCAAACGCTGTGCTGAGAGGGCAGGAGCACAGTGGCCTGATCTCACCCGCGGGGGCCCGGGAGACTGTGTTTCACAGAGCACTTTTCTCCTGAAGCCCTCTTATACTCCTTAAAGATCATCGCTGGGCTCTAACCCCACCCCCCGGAGATAAATGATATAACCAGGGTCTGGCTCCTGGCACTGCAAAGCAGGACAGGACTGTGGGGAGCCTGCTTGGTCTGAGCCTGATTTCTAAAATGGGGAAACTGAGGCACAGAGTAGCAAGTGGTTTGCCACTGATCATACCAATCAGCTAGAAAGAGGGCTGCTTGGTTCTCCCTGAACTGTGGATGTGTCAAGCTGTGTTTCCTATTGGCCAAACGTTGAAGAGGACTGTATTCAGTAGGGGCGGTCATCTGGCTCCTGCCACCTCTTCCTGGTCATCACTGCCCAGCAGCATTTTCTGGCTGGAGTTCAGGGCTCAGGGTGGCACTATGTAAAAGTTGAGGGTGAGGGGCCAGCCTGGGGCATCAGGAGCCCAATTTCATTTTCTGTTCCACACTGGTTTCTGCTCATAAACATTTCTCATAAAGATGAGTGAGGGTTATGACTTGCTGCCTGACTTGCTGCCTGTGGAAAGATAAAGAAAAATGTATTAAGTTGACCTTTCTCTTCTGCTGTTGCTGGGCTTCTGTGAATCAGCTGAAACTTTAGACCAACTGTCTCCCTCAAGGTGGCTAACCCAGCATTTCTCTGGGACATGAGTGATTAGGGAATTCACTGAATGCCATGTTTATTTCTTCCTGTCAACAGCAAACCAGAGAACATCCGTATTCCACTTGTCAGCTCTTTAGTCTCAGTTTTTGACACCAGTTGAATTTCTCTGTTACATTGGACCCCGAGTACCTGCCCTCTCAACAAACTTCTGGTGAATCTAGGCAGTGAGTAAATCTTTAAGATAACTTATACAACAACAACAACAGCAACAAACTAAACCATATATGGGAGGATGAATATTATCTTAGCAGGCAAGTGGTAATACTTCTTTTCAAGCTAAGAGGCAACATGACCAGGATAAATTTCCTCATCTTTAATCTGAAGACTTCATCATAAATGCTTGGAAGTCTTTTTTTTTTTTTTAAGTGGGAAAATGTAAAACGTTTTAACATGTGAAGTTATTTTTAAGAGGCCATTATTAAAACCTCATGGTGAGGAAAAGGGTTACTTTTCTAATTGGGGCAGGAAACTCCATCAGGCACCACTGCACAATGCTGTGTGCTGAGATGTTCCCTGAGGCAAAGCTAATTTCTTAAAGACATCCTGGTCAGTGATCCGGTGACCCTGGAATGCTCCCTTGGCCTTTGTCTACCTGAAGCTCCAGGGTGCTGCACCCAGGAGGATGGCTGCTCCCTAGTGTGGTGCTTGGTCATCAGCCTCCTGGATATCTCCCGGCTTCCTGGCCCAGATCTGCTGATTAAACATGAGTCCAGTTGATGCTTTTCTTGGGCACCAGACTGTCCACTGAGAAACCCCCTTGGGCAGATGAAAGGTGAACACGGGGTGCTGATGAGGGTCTGTGTTGTCCTCATCAGGATGGGAGCTGGTCCTGTCTTATCTTCCTCCTCTGCCTCCTGCCCTCTTCACTTTTTGATCTCTTTTCTTGCCAACTTTTGTTGCTAAACCTTTTCACAGGCAGACCCCACTCTTGACGCTCATGGTACCCCATGTCACCTGTCTCCTATATAACTTCTGCCCTTCCTACTCTGCCTGTAGTTCTGAGGCCGGCTGTCCCTAAGTTACCCCTAGAGCACCAATGTGACGCTCTGTGGGCAGTTCCTCATTCCAGCTCACCACCACCTGGACACAGGCCTACCCAGCTCTGAGTTTCAAACACAAAAACCATTAAAAGCAGTCTGTCCAGCCCTTGGACCACGGTGAAAGCATCATGAGCTCCGTGGGGACAGCAATTGTCTTTCCCCCTCTTGACCCCAGCAGTGCTGGAGAGCAGCTCCGGCACCTCATGGCCCCCTTCCTCCTCTACCTGGGCCCAGGCATGTGGCAGCATGTGCCCCAGGGTGAGGTGAGGACTATTGGGGAGTGTCAGTTAGAAGCCCCATTGCTCCTGGGCCCAGGAAGCTCACGAGGGTGCTGCTGTGTTATTTCCACGCTGGTATTACTGCATGCATAATGGGCCATCTGTCCTGATTGTGTGTGCTCATTTGTGTGTCTCCAGGTCCAGGGTGCCCCTCCCAGGAGTTGAAGTGGGTCCAAAGCTGTAGACCCACTAGTGGTCAGTGGACCACTGGGGGGAAGCCCTGCCTGTCCCGCTGGCTCCGAGGCCTCAAGCTGGCCACTGGCTCTGCAGCTGGAGTCCCCTGGTTCTCAGATGCTGGGCTGGGTGGGCCTCCAGGTGGCTAGGGATTATCTGCTTAGCTTATTTTTTTTAAAGATGACTGGTAAGGGGATCCGAACCCGTGGCCTTGGTGTTATCAGCACTGCACTCTCCCGAGTGAGCCACAGGCCAGCCCTAGCTTGCCTTTATTTTTAAAGTCACTCTCTGCATATTGTGTGTCAGTGAGTGCTGAGTGGCGTTGTCTAGACATGATGTCCCTAGACTCACTGGGCAGAAGCCAGAGCTAGTTGGAAAGATGAAATTCTGCTTCTGGAGGACAGTCTATTTCCCTCTGCCTGAGACTCCAGCAGCCAGAATGTTTCTGGTTGAAACATGTTCTTTCAACCAGGTCCTTTCCATGTGGCTTCCTCTGCAGCTCTGTGACTCTCCACAAGAGCTGGAGGGTGTCGCCTGCCCTCATAGCCACAGGGCATTCTTGGAGCTCTTTGCTTTGTTACACCCTGTGGGGGGTCTCTCAGTCAATGGAGGACAGTCTATTTCCCTCTGCCTGAGACTCCAGCAGCCAGAATGTTTCTGGTTGAAACATGTTCTTTCAACCAGGTCCTTTCCATGTGGCTTCGTCTGCAGCTCTGTGACTCTCCACAAGAGCTGGAGGGTGTCGCCTGCCCTCACAGCCACAGGGCATTCTTGGAGCTCTTTGCTTTGTTACACCCTGTGGGGGGTCTCTCAGTCAAGACATGCTGTGCAGATGAAGCCAGGCCACCTGTGACAGGCAGGTGCCTTCACCATCTGGGGTGACAACAGCCAACTTTGCCAAGTATTTGCAGGGTAGGCACCAAGCAGCATTGGGCATCCTCTTGTTTACTCCTCTGAGGAGAGAGGCAACATCATCTTGGAGGGGAGAGAGCTGAAATTCATAAAGGGAAAGAGACCACCCACAGTCACAGGTGTGTGGCAGGGGGCTCAGCCCTGGTCCCCACCACTTGCCTGGCTTGAGAAGTCTCTACACCTCTTTGTGTCTTCGACTCATTCTCTGTGAAATGGGAGGGATGACGGCACTGGCCTCAGAGGTGGTGGTCATGTCTGTGCACCCCTGGAATACACCGGGCATGGAGAGCGCCAGCTTGCAGAGTGGAAGCGTCCCAATCCTGCACCTCCGTGCACCTCGTCCAGACCTAACTTGGGAAGCCACACCTAGGGTCTGGTGCATGGGTGGTGCCCCCATGTGCATTTCTTGATGACATGTGATATCTTCTGTCCCTGAGTTCCCACTCAGGTGTTGGGTGGGGCATGGCAGGTGCCTGGCCGCTGCGTGTGTGGGTGGTGTGCCCTGGGTGTGTCTGTGTGTGCAGGGTGTGTTTGTAGATAGCATTCCGGATTCAGTCTCACCTCTGGGCAAGCATTACCTCACAGGAAGGCAGTCCCTCAACAAGCAAATTTTCTCTATTGAAACTTCTGTGAAATTGCCTCTGCTGGTGTTGGCCAGTGCAGAAGACCTCAGGGGACAGGTAGCCCGTGTGGTGGCTCCAGCTGGCTCCAGC